AAAAGAAGAAGAATGAAGAAAAAAGAAGAAGAAGAAGAATGAAAAGAAGAAGAAGAATGAAAAGAAGAATGAGAAGAAGAATGAAAAGAAGAATGAAAAAGAAGAAGAAGAAGAATGAAAAGAAGAAGAAGAAGAATGAAAAGAAGAATGAAAAGAAGAATGAGAAGAATGAAAAGAAGAATGAAAAGAATAATGAGAAGAATGAAAAGAAGAATGAAAAGAAGAAGAATAATGAAAAAGAAGAATGAAAAAAGAAAAATGAAAAGAAGAATGAAAAGAAGAAGAAGAAGAATGAAAAGAAGAAGAAGAAGAATGAAAAGAAGAATGAAAAGAAGAAGAAGAAGATTGAAAAGAAGAAGAAGAAGAAGAATGAAAAGAAGAAGAAGAATGAAAAGAAGAAGAATTCCAGTACAGCAAAAAGTGTATCTGCAGAGAGCTCCGCTATTTCTGACAGTTCTCTGACAGTTCCTTCACATTTACAGCGGTTGAAACATTGTATCTATTTATTTCCGAATAAAAAACATCTGTATCCTAAATGGAAACAAATAGATACAATGTTTCAACCGCTGTAAATGTGAAGGAACTGTCAGAGAACTGTCAGAAATAGCGGAGCTCTCTGCAGGGACACTTTTTGCCGGCTGATCGGGAAAAATTCGATTCGTGCATCCGAAGTTTGCTAAAATTCGGATTCGGTGCGAATCGAATTTTTCCTAATATTCGAAACGAATATTCCACTTCGCCAAGTTCGATTCGCTCATCTCTAGTGCTTACCACTGGGATCTGCTTTTATTTAGTTATGTAAAACCTTTATACCAAAAATAAAACACACAGTCGCTGTAACTGCTTAAAAAGTGTTAGCTTGATCTTGACCTTTTTTTGTTAGTCACAAGGCCATCTAAGGCAGGCCATATATTATGTAATTCACTTTCTTTCCACCATAAATGCATGGCTACCAACCGTCAGTAAATTTACGAATAGTTTGTAAAAATCTGTTATTTTCCGTCTGCCGGAAGTGTGTAACCGGAAGTACATCACCGCGCTCTGACGCCATCTTTGAACACCCAGCACCTTGCAGTACACCCACAGCACATGGGAGACCTGCTGTATGAGATCTGCTTTACTGTGCACACAATTTTAAGGATTGGCATGTTTGATGGAGTGAAGCGACCGGAGATATTGGGATCATTGTGATTAAGGAATCCAGGGAGGATTGTGGAGATTATTTATTCCTGGGAAAGCTGTTGGATCATTATAGGCAAGCGTTATTTGGAGTGTTGGTAAGGGTACCCTTACTTTAAGTAGAAGTGCACACCAGTTTGCAATTTTTTTGTGGCACTAAAGAGTGATTCACACACACCGATTATTTCACGGTTTTTCACGTTTTGTTCACTATTTTTTTTTGCACAATTATTCACTGCATAAACTGCGTGGGATGAATTAAATTTATGTTGTATAAAAGATAATGCACTATGTGATATTCTCTTTTTTTTTTTTGAGGTATATGCATCTGGGAGATCGTTGGAAGAATTTTGAACAGTTTGAACTATTTTTTCACTGTGATGTATTAGGGTAGTTAGGGGTAATAGTTGATGGACTAATTGATGGACTTCACGGTTGTTATTTAAATTTTGTTTTTCAACAACAGGTCATTAGTGATAAAAAAAAAAAACATAAACTTCTTCTCGATAAAATTCTTCTTGTGCTACAAACAAGTGATTTCCCATCTCTAGCTCATACCAATCAAACAGCTCACCTTAAAATTAGACCCCTTATATGACAGGAGGCCTAATAGCACTTGATGCATGTACAGGGTAAATCTTCCACAGTAGAACCCAGATGTATTACAGATGTAATAAGGCACAGTTGTAGTAACATGTCAACCATGTGACACTTCAGGAAACATGCCAAACATGATAGAAACCAAAACCCACAAAAAATACTGCTCACTGCTGATATTTGATGGGCTGTCATATGAGAGAACAATCAGTATGCTGTGTGATAAAGGTGAACACATCAAGCAATATGAAGAACCAGCTCTATACTCAGCCGGTGTACATTCTACTCAGCAGAAATCACCAGTGGTACAGTGCCTAGTCAGCGTGTACACATATGCTGAAGTCCTTGTACACACAAAATATGCCTTGAATTTCTTGCCACAAGCGAAGGGTCTTGCATGCACCTCAGAACCATGGCTTACAACGTAGCATATAGGGTGCAATTGTCAGGCATTGTGATGTACAACTAGTGTACCAAATACAGCTGTCAAGATTATGCCACTTACATTTCTGTAAGCACCGTACTGCAGGGTGAGAGTCTTTTTTTCTATGACTTTTGGGCTGACATGGAAAAACACAAATCCTGAAAATTACAGGTTTGGGGTTGCCTTAAAACAGTGATGTTATTAACCACTTCCAGTCCGGACACTTCTACCCCCTTCCTGACCTGGGCAATTTTCAGCTTTCAGCGCTATCACACTTTGAATGACAATTGCGCGGTCATGCAACACTGTACCCATATGAATTTTTTACCATTTTTTTGAGACAGATAAAGCTTTATTTTGGTGGTATTTATTCATCGCTGGGATTTTAATTTTTTTTACTATGTAAATGAAAAAGTCCAAAAATTTTGAAAAAAAGTGTTTTTTTTTATAAAATTTTGCAAATAAATAATATTTCATCATAATCTTGGCCAAAAGTTATTCCGTTATTTTTTTAGTAAAAAAAAAAATCCAAATTAGTTTATAACCAAAAATTATAATTTTTAAACATTTTTTTTTACATTTTTATTTTATTTTTTTATATTATTATTATTTTTTTTTTTTTTTTTTTTACATACTGTCACCCTAGCAGTACAGTGTCACCATGGTGACACTGTACTACTTGTGGGGGGTGATGAAGATTTTTTTCTTTTTTTTTTTTATACTGATTGCTTTTACACCCATATAGGATGTAATAGCAATCATTTCTCTTTCTCTCTGTCTGCATTCTTGCAGTCATTGAGAAGTACTGAGTGAGCTGTGATTGGTCACAGCTTGTCACATGGTACAAGGCTGTTGTGAATAGCCTTGTACCATGTGACCTCTGTGATCATTCACAGATTTCACACGTAGTAAGCAATGATGTCACAAGTGACATCTTGCTTACTACTTTGCATGTGATCACTGATTGGCCAATCAGTGATCACGTGATTGGGACCTCGTACAGAGGTCCCGTCCGACGATCGGTGTTTCACTATGTCCGGAGGACACAGCAGGCACCGGATCGTGGTGCTGCGCGCTCCCAGGGAGCGCACACAAGCAGGGTGCGGGGAGGCCGTTTATAAACGGCCACCTGACCCTGCAGTGCCACCGTCCGGCCGTTTATATACAATGGCCGGTCGGGAAGTGGTTAAACAGCGTGATATTCAAAGAAAGCATTAGAATCAGCATACTTTTGCAGTGTATTTTTTTCAACTGACTTACAAACAGCAGCAGCACCACAACTGGAATCCTTTTATTTAAGGCTGGCCATACACCAGTAGAATTTTGTTCAATGATTTTCTTTTTTGGAACATTTGTTGAATTTTCTAATTGTTAGTAGGGTCAAATTGAAGTTTGTTTTTGACAGTAGTGCTGAGAAGGCGCAGGAAGGAAACTCTAACTGTGAATGTGATTTTCATTCAGGAAAAAACTGCACATTTTGTAATGAAGCGTTGAATAAGTCTGGGATTCCATTCAAACAGCAGGTCTGGACACAGTTTTAAGGGTCTTTGAAAATGAATTGACTTGATGGCAAGAAAGTATGTTCTAATGAATGGTTTTTCAGAATTATTGTACAAATGTTCAAAAGAAAATTTAACTATGCATAGTCAAAATGTGACAGACCCAACCAGGACAGGGGCGTTTGGAGGGGACTAGGGGCTAGCCTTCTACCCACTGATTAGGGCCTAAGGAGAGACCAAATTACTCTCCATTGATGGACAACAAGCTGATGAATGCTGAGAGCGAGGCTTGGATTAATTCTCTGAATAAAGACAGGTTAGTAAAGGTTAATGGTCAGCAGAAACATGAGGCCCTCTTGCAGGGTTGGAGAAGCTCCTCAACTTGGAACAGAAATATTTATCAACAATCTCCCTCAAGAAATCTATGAAGATAGATGAATTCCACTTTTGGAATATTGTATGAGTTTTGTCTTATGAAGGACAGATTATACAAGTGAAAGCAAACACCTGAAAGACAGCATATGTAAAGTAATGTACAGGGGCGGACTGACAACTCATGGGGCCCCTGGGCAACAGGGGATCATGGGGCCCCTGTGTCCTTGCCTAAACTCAAAAAAGCCTATGAAAAAGGTACCAGGAAAAGGGTATTTTTGTATATTTTAACTTGGGATCTTTTCATGCTTCATGCTGCAGGAGGACCAAAAAAGATTCTCACACTATACAAAGTTTCACACTTGTATGTAGCCCTGTTGCCTATGTGTAACATAGCTGGAAGCTGCCCCAAACAGGAGGGTTAGGCTTAGCTGTGTCCTGGGCTTTGACTTGGCATTTTTTCAATATAAGGGGATTGGAGCCCAGAGAGTCTGCAGAGTCTTTGTTTGCTGCTGCCGCTGCCACTGCTGGGGTTCCCTGTTATGCTGAAGCTGGAGTACTCACTCAAGATCTCCTGCCGTCAGAAGCTTTCCAGTATTTAGGGGGACTACTGAGACTCGTAGTCTGCCCTGAAGATGCCAAACTTGGGTTGTGCCATAATGGACTGTCATGAAGTCTGAATTGACAAGGTTGGCTTCTCTTGTATCTCCAGCCCAAGCCCCACTGAAGGTGGAACAGACGGTGCCGAGGGATAGGAGGATTGCCTGCAGATGTTGATTGCAAAACTTGTGGCTGGAAGTGTAAACTCGCTAAATCAAACAGGGCATCCAGTCAGGAACAGAGGAGATGCAGGAACGACCAGCTGAGGTTAAAGGAGCACTCCACCAGAGCTGCAAGATCTGGATGCGTGGTTTGCTGGAATTTCTAACAAGCGTGAGGCTGGAACAGGGGCAGACTGACAACTCTTGGGGCCCCTGGGCAATAGGAGATCATGGGGCCCCTGTGTCCTTGCCCAAACTCAAAAAAGCCTATGAAAAAGGTACCAGGGGCATCTCATGGGGTCCCCTACTGACCCTGGGCCCTCGGGCAGTGCCCGAGTTTCCAAATGGTCAGTCCGCCCCTGGTAATGTATATGTAATGTAATTAGTGTATTCAGGGGTGGGCTTGCTGCTGGGCTGTGTGTGGTGGACTCCCTGATTAATCAAAGCGTTGTCTAGGTGCTTGGCTGCTGATTAGCTTACTGTTAATTAGATCACTGTTAGCTGTTGGCTGAACTGTTTACCGTTTAGGATAATGTGATCAAACTCTTATCCAGGGGCGGACTGACAACTCATGGGGCCCCCCGGTAAATAGGGGATCATGGGGCCCCTGTGCCCTTGCCCAAACTCAAAAAAAGCCTATGAAAAAGGTACCAGGGGCATCTCATGGGGCCCCCTACTGACCCCGGGCCCTCAGGCAGTGCCCGAGTTTCCAAATGCAGGGGCTGCTCTTACCGTAATGATGTGGGATGCTTTTCCCAATGCGTATATTTCTGAAGTGTATAAAAACCTGTATTTCTGTTCAATAAACCGTTCCAGTTTTTGTACCTAAGATAGTATCGCCAAGTCTGCCAGTTATAATACATTGGTTCTGTGTGCAGAAAGGAAGTAGTTCTCTGAGGGAATCGTCCAATCGAGTGACAGGCGGTCTGTTACAGTAATAAAAAGGCTTTGTTTTGTTAGTCTCAGCATCAACATAAGCCTGCTTTGACTGATAAAAGTGGAAGTCTCAACAAGTCTAACAGCCATAGAGCAAAGTCTTTTGAAATAAATTACAACTAAAGCAGGCGTAGCATGGTAAACGCTGACCATGGCTACAGCAGTGACAGCATTGTTTGTGAGGTTCTTCTTTTTGCAACACTTCACTGTTTAATATTACATCTTAAAACACAAAGTCAAAACAGAGTGCTGGTATATTATGGAAGAACTTAGCCAGCAGCAGGACAGAATGTGTTCAAATAGAGAAGACCTAAATAAGCAGAGAAGAAACTGATGTTTCCCAGTTATAAAAACTAGAGTTCAGCACCTGAGATACATCTGTCAAGAAAAATTTCCAGTGGCAGGACAGTATATTAGCAGGTTGAACAACCCAAAATTAGGAGAGACAAGATAGGTTTTATATATCAATAAAAATTAGAGTGTATCATTTAATTAATGTAGTATCTAAATATGACCATTGGCAGGACAATAAGTGAATTTTTTAATAAGCTGAAAATTAACCACTTATCACCTGCCATATTGCAAAAATACAGCTGCGGGGTGGTTCTCCAGTTCTGGGAGTTCATCCAGGGACGTCCTCCCATTCGCGTGCAGCGGAGTGATCCTATGACCACTGTACCTGTGAGCAGGATGGAGGAGGACTGCTCAGGAGTCCACACTGCTCACACCAGAGCAGAAACCACAGCAATGTGGACTCCTGAGCGGTCCTCCTCCATCCTGCTCGCCAGTAAACGCCCCTCCTCCTCACACTCGGACTGCTTCGGACTTTACCCCATCTCTGAGGAGAACCCCCCTGTTCATCGGCCGGGGGAGGAGTCCTTCTACTCATACAGGCGGTGTAAATTTGTTTGCAGAAGCCCATTCAAGATCACAGGTCCATTCCAGTACCCAGAGAGGGGTTCTCCTGTATATCCAGGAAGCTGCACCCACCAAACCCTGAGGGAACCTCTGGCTGTCTTGGATCACCCAAAAGCCCTGGAATTACCCAGAGTGCCACTTGCCCTTCAGAGGGAGGATTACCTACCATCTGATCCACCCTGATCTCCTTGAGAAGACATCCTGACCTATATTTATATGCGCATTAAAGTTGCGCATCTGGTGAGTGCACAATTTTACTATTACCATTTGCACAAGCACCGGAATACCTTTGAAGCAGGCACCTTCAGAGCACTATTGTCACTTTTGGAACATTTCTCTTTATAAATTGGATTATCATTTATTCATGAACTTTATTATATTTATCACAGAGGCACCTTACTAGATATATACTTTTTAACTCTGCACTTGTATTATTTTGTGTTAAGGGTTTATTTGGTTACCTATTGTGCATAGCTGCTTTATGCACAGTTGCTGCCTCTGCATCTAAAGGGGGTAGCGGGTTAGGGGTTGTAAAACCACCGCTCAACCGTGAGGTTTTACTTTCTCCCGACCTTATGTGTGAACGAGCCCTAATAGATTGTACGCCCCGTGAGGGTTAGGGACTGATGTGAATGTACAATATATATGTAAAGCGCTGCGTAAATTGACGGCGCTATATAAGTACCTGAAATAAATAAATAAAAATAGTGCAGCCAGTCTACGTCTAGCACCTGCACCCTACTCTTGGAGTTTGAATGACTCTATGCTTACATCAAGACGTAGCTACTTTCATCCAAGAATATTTTCCTATTAGCAGGGTTCCCTTAAAACGACATCAGCCATAGTGAATGTGTCAGTGGTTTGTCATGTCATACAATATCTTGGAGTCCTCTCACCTTCCTGCTGCCCACTGGCTCCATCACCAGCTGCATGTAGCGAGGTAAGATCACAGCCCGGGACCCCGATCAGCTATTCCACTACTTCACAAGTCAGGTGCTGCCTCCTCCTCCACTAATAATCACCAGCAGTTCCCTACTTTTCCTGTCTCGACGGGCTCCCCTCACCCTCCCCCCCTGGCTCCAAGCCACATTCCTGTCTGAATTAATGTGTCCAGGTTTCAGGCAGACACATTATTCAAACAAACCTAAATATACTGCCCCTGAGTGACATGTGGAGCCTCTCATGGGTCCCCCTACTGATGGTCAATCTGCCCCTGTTGTCACACCTCTGGTGGGTGTCACCCAGGGTGGTCCGCACCCCCAGAGCAACACCACTGTTCTGGCTGCCATACTGTATCTACATTCGTTAGGCTGACTATTGGCTTTCTGCTTTCACTCACGAATATTGTGCCACCCCCTTCCTTGAAAGTAAATCAACCCCACTGAAAGTACAGCTCTTTTCCCTTTGCTTTCTATGGAGGGCTGTCAGCCTTCCAATTTAAACAAAAGCCAGGTACTGTTAGAAACTGACTGAAATCCTGAGTTCAGACTAGATTAATATTGTTGTATTGCTATAACCTACTGTATATGTTACTGCAAAGCAGATAGCACACTGTCATGTGTTGTGGTGCAATGCACCTTTTTTTTAGTGTGTTAGGTAGCTCATTTACACAAACGGGCTACCTAAAGTATTGCATGTTAATGCATTATATAAATAGCACATAATAATGTGCGCCTGATTGCAATGCAACAGTGTGAATTCAGCCTCAGAGTCTTTGTGTTGTAATCTTTCACAATGTATTACTCCACAGTACATGCAGCTAGAGAGGTGAATGGAGGCTTGTTATGAAGCTCCTTGACTTTTTTTTAAGAATGTATAAATAATTTAATGTCCATAGTCTGGGAACAGCTGCATTTTAAGCATTTTACAACTGCGCTACAGCCAAAAGATGGCTACAGCGCAGTTGTCCAGTTCTGGGAGGGCATCATATGATGTCCTCCCAAAATGCGCCCGCCGCGCGCCCCCAGTGGCGCACACCCGGCACTGTCAGTGATCACTGTGTCCTACGGAAACTGCTGATCACATGACAAGGTAAAAGGCCACTCACAGCTGCCTTTTACCACATGATCAGCTGTGTCCAATGACACAGCAGATCACAAAGTAAATACAGTTGCCAGTTATTGGTAGCACTTTCCTCACACTGTGACAGTACTGACGATAACTGGCAAATGTCACAGAGCAGATCTGCACTGATAATCAGTGCACTGATGATCATCAGTTCCACCCATTAGTGCCCAGCAGTGCCACCTAGGAGTGCTGCCCAGTAGTGCCGCCCAGCAGTTTCACTCATCAGTGCCCAGCAGTGCCACCCATCAGTGCCCATCAGTGCAGCCTTGATAGGCGGCACTAATAGGCTGCACTGATGGGCACTGATGGGTGCACTGATGGGTGCCACATCAATGCCCACCAGTGCCACCTCATCTTTGCTGCCTATCTGTGCCACCTCATCAGTGCCCATCAGTGCTGCCTGATCAACACACATCAATGAAGGAGAAAAATTACCTGTTTGCAAAATTTTATAATAGAAACAAAGAAAACTTTTTATTTTTTTATTTTTTGCTCTTTTTTTGTTTATAGTGCAAAAAATAAAAAACCTCAGTGGCGATTACATATCACCAAAGGAAAGCTCTACCGACCTGATACCCAAATACCACCCTACCCATAATCTTCGCTCCTCACAAGACCTTCTACTTTCTAGCTCCCTGGTCTCCTCCTCCCACGCCCGACTGCAGGACTTCTCCAGGACTTCCCCCATCCTCTGGAACTCACTACCCCAATCCATCAGACTGTCACCTACCCTCCTCACCTTTAGGCGCACCCTGAAAACCCATCTCTTCAGGGAAGCTTACCCCACCCTCACCTAACTGCCGATCTCCTCCACTCTTCCTACCACTCCATCCCCCACAGCTATCTCCTCCTGTACCACTATCCCCTCCCTCCTAGATTGTAAGCTCGAAAGAGCAGGGCCCTCGATCCCCTCATGTATCGTTTTGTTACTGTATTGTCTCATGTTCTGTCCCCCACTATTTTGTACAGCACTGAGCAAACTTTTTGGTGCTATATAAACACTGTATAATAATAATTAATTTGTGTGAAAAACGATAAATATTTCATAAATGTACAATGTTGCATGACCGCGCAATTTTCATTCAAAGTGCAACGGCACTGAAAGCTGAAAATTGGCCTGGGCAAAAAGGGGGGTAAAGTGCCCAATAGGAAAGTAGTTAAGGGTTCCTAAGACCAGATTGTAAAGTGTACACTGAACTTTCTGCCTGCTGTGTCTCAGCAGCAGAGGGGAGGAGAGCCCTCACTGGCACCAGTGAATAAGCAATCTCTGCCAAGGTGCTACAAAAAGGTACCGTATTTTTCGCCATATAAGACGCACTTTTTCTTCCCCAAAACTGGGGGGGAAATGTCAGTGCGTCTTATAGAGCGAATATGGAGCGGCCGGTCCAGTATTTCCACCGCGGTCGTGTCAGAATACCGGGCCGGCCGCTCAGCTCTGCAGCGGGACCTTACCTGTTCCTCTATCCAGCGACGCGCTGTCTTCCCGGCTTCTGTAGTGTGGGCGCTGGGCATGACAGCCGGGTGCCAAGTGCGCATGCGCAAGAAGCGGTGCTTTTTGTGAATGGTAAGGCGGTACCTGGGACACATGACAGATCCCAGAAGCCGCCAGACCAATCACAAAGCTCAAGTGCTTCTCGCTCATGCGCACTGGGCACCCGGCTGTCATGCCGAGCGCCATTACAGAAGCCGGGAAGACAGCGCGCGGCTGGATCGAGGAACAGGTAAGATCAAACAAAAACTCTGCGGAAGTAAGAGCGGGTACCTGTCAAATTCAGGTACCCGCTCCCCACCTTCCCAAAGGTCAGCAGTCATCTGTACTGTCCGCAGTCTCTGGTCATCCCTGTGCTGTCCGCAGTCTCTGGTCATCCCTGTGCTGTCCGCAGTCTCTGGTCATCCCTGTGCTGTCCGCAGTCTCTGGTCATCCCTGTGCTGTCCGCAGTCTCTGGTCATCTCCTGTACTGTCCGCAGTCTCTGGTCATCTCCTGTACTGTGTCCGCAGTCTCTGGTCATCTCCTGTACTGTCCGCAGTCTCTGGTCATCCCTCCTGTACTGTGTCCGCAGTCTCTGGTCATCCCTGTACTGTCCGCAGTCTCTGGTCATCTCCTGTACTGTGTCCGCAGTCTCTGGTCATCTCCTGTACTGTCCGCAGTCTCTGGTCATCTCCTGTACTGTGTCCGCAGTCTCTGGTCATCTCCTGTACTGTGTCCGCAGTCTCTGGTCATCTCCTGTACTATGTCCGCAGTCTCTGGTCATCTCCTGTACTGTCCGCAGTCTCTGGTCATCTCCTGTACTGTCCGCAGTCTCTGGTCATCTCCTGTACTATGTCTGCAGTCTCTGGTCATCCCCTGTGCTGTCTGCAGTCTCTGGTCATCTCCTGTACTGTGTCTGCAGTCCATTAGTTCAGAATTTTTTTTTTCTCCTGTTTTCTGCCTCTAAAACCTAGGTGCGTCTTATGGTCAGGTGCGTCTTATACGGCGAAAAATACGGTACTTGCAGGCAGCAGTATTATGTAATAAAAGGCTGACTCTAGCAATGTACACATTCCTTTAGCATATTTTGTTATGGATTCAAGGGTTTGCCAGGAACAAGTACTTTTTTAAATGTATATGTATTAAATAACAAATACTTATTTCAGATCAGCAGAAGGTTTTGTCCTCTCGCTTCTCTTTGGATGACTCAAGTTTATGCTTAACATGCATCTTCTATGTTTAATGTTCTGTCCTTCCTGATGTCTGACAGTATTTTAATGTATATATGTAATAACTACAATTAAATATGACTAAAATTATTGCTTGTTACCAAGATAGAACATTAGTGCTTTAACTTTTTTTTTCCCATGTGCTGCCCTAAGAAAAACATGTTTATGGAGGACTTGTGCAGAGGAGTCCAATTAAAAAGGGTTATATAAGTTATTTCAATTACGAAATCTTTGTATATAACAGCACATACTTCAGCCTGACCAGTGCGAGCTTAAATTTAACAGGCATGACCAATTTCTGTTAAAATTCCCCTGTTGCGCTGTCCTGGATGTCATCCATTGCATTACATGCTTGATACACTGGCTGTCACTGCCAGGTTATGTGACTTCCTGTAATGTATGAATGGTTGTAATTGTAGCAAATGTATATATTTCCTATGTTTCTCTGTTAAAAAAAAAATTATATATTTCCTTGCTGTCCTTTCCACCTCTCAAAGAAGTTCACATTTTAAAATGATGTCCGATTTCATCACAACACAGTGTAATGTAAGGTTATCATAAAGTCATAAACAATATTACAAATAACATCACTATCCTTCCTTACTTCAAACACCCCACCAAGTCACTTTAGCAATCCCTCCCCTGAAGTACATACATAAATAAATCAAAATTACCGTATATACTCGAGTATAAGCCGACCCGAATATAAGCCGAGGTACCTAATTTTACCACAAAAAACTGGGAAAAACTATTGACTCGAGTATAATAGTGCCCCATCGTTGGTGTCAGGGGGGGGAATAGTGCCCCATCGTTGGTGTCAGTGGGGGGAGGAATAGTGCCCCAGTGGGTCAGGGGGAGGAATAGTGCCCCATCGTTGGTGTCAGTGGGGGGAGGAATAGTGCCCCATCGTTGGTGTCAGTGTGGGGGGAGGAATAGTGCCCCATCGATCATTGGTGTCAGTGTGGGAGGAATAGTGCCCCATCATTGGTGTCAGTGTGGGAGGAATAGTGCCCCATCGTTGGTGTCAGTGGGGGATTAGTGCCCCATCGATGGGGTAATAATAGTGTCCCCATCATTGGTGTCAGTGTGGGAGTAGTAGTGCCCCATCAGTGGGGGGAGGAATAGTGCCCCATCGTTGGTGTCAGTGGGGGGAGGAATAGTGCCCCATCATTGGTGTCAGTGTGGGAGGAATAGTGCCCCATCGTTGGTGTCAGTGGGGGGAGGAATAGTGCCCCATCGTTGGTGTCAGTGGGGGGAGGAATAGTGCCCCATCATTGGTGTCAGTGTGGGAGGAATAGTGCCCCATCTTTGGTGTCAGTGGGGGGAGGAATAGTGCCCCATCGTTGGTGTCAGTGGGGGGAGGAATAGTGCCCCATCGTTGGTGACCCCTGCTCCAGCCTGGGCTTGCTCGCTCCCTCCCTCTCCCATGGTACACACTTACCGGTCAGATGTCTTCCTTCTCCGGCCGCTCTCCTCCTCTTCACTCGCTCGATCTTCGCGGTGCCGCTCGGCTCCTCCTCTTCAAGCTCCACCTCCTCGCCGGTGATTGGGCGCCTGTGTGCCTCTCCTGAGCTACAGTTCCGGCGGCCAATCACCGGCGAGGATTGATCCCGGGGGTGTGTCCAGATGACAGGGACGGCATGTCATCTGCAGACGTTGACTCGAGTATAAGCCGAGGGGGCCGTTTTTCAGCACAAACAATGTGCTAAAAAACTCGGCTTATACTCGAGTATATACGGTAAGCAGACTTGATTTCAATAAACCTAAAAATAGTGTTTAAAGTCCCAAATAAAGTCCCAAATGAAAGTCCCCAAAAAATAATCTTTGCTGGTGATTTCACAATTCTTCGTGTCTCCAAACAATATTAGTGGTATAGTCCAAAAAAAAATCTTCATATACCTCAAAGAAAAAATACTGAACATAGTGTGTTATCCCAAATATTATCATAAAGTGCCACACGTGTTACATGCAAGCAAACTAAAGTGCCACAGCAAACGTGAAATAACAAAAACTTCTATGCCTTAATTATCAATCCACTGCACACAAATATCAGGAGTGCATAATTACCCTAAAGATAGTATCGTAGGATCCATCATATAGATGAGATTATTTCCAGCCTTTTTTCATCAACCTTTCCAGCCACTTCCCACAGACCTCATAAACAAACCAGGGATCAGTGTATATAATAGATAATAATAACACTTTATTGTAGCAACTTACATTAAAATATGATGAGATCAGCTTCCATACAGTGAAAATGGTTTCACAATAGCGCCCCTCCTCAGTGGCACCTAGGTATCATCACCATACCACTCTGGAGGAGAGACAAAATCATCGGTGGAGGATTCCAAGACAAACACAACCGCATGTAGAGGATTCCAGGACAAACACAACCGCGTGTTCCAGGATCTAAAATGGCCGCCACGGCACTTCGGGAAGAGCGTCACTACGTCACCACGTCACGTGCCCCGGACGCGTTTCGTCACATCCGGACTTTTTCAACAGGGATATCTTAAAGTCATACTGCAGCAGATAAAGAGCCCTTACATAAGATGTTAAAGGAAATCATACGTTCACAACATACAGTTTTATTTTCTAACATCATTATTGTAATAACAATACAAACAGAAATTATTTTTGACAATCAAATATAAGTTTACATGATAAATCTTCTTTCATGTTGTGAGAACTGCCTGTCTGCTGGGCATCGCTTTCCATAACTTCCTGGACTTCCTGCATGCTTTGCAGCTTCTCCTCTGTTGTTTACTTTCAATTTCTAAGGACTACATATCCCATAGTACTTTGCTGCCTGCTAGCTGTGATTCCTGTACTGACGCCTGAATCTCCTCCTTTTCAGCACCTCTGTAGTTCAGAAGGCAGGCTCTGTGAAGTCTGTGATGTAGCAGTGCCAGGAATGGATAATTTTATATAGTAACATTGGTCCAATTTGGGTCAATGTAACAATACATATACAATGCCTGTGGGATCCCTCTGTAACAGAGGCGGACTGACCATTTGGGAACTCAGGCACTGCCCGAGGGCCCAGGGTCAGTAGGGGGCCCCATGAGATGCCCCTGGTACCTTTCATAGGCTTTTTTTGGGTGTGGTTTGAGTGTCGGCGAGGATACAGGGGCCCCATGATCCCCTATTGCCCGGGGGCCCCATGAGTTGTCAGTTCGCCCCTGCTCTGTAAGCTGGAAATTAGTAGACTTTGTTAGTTCAGTGATCTCCACTAGCGTACATGTCCCATGCCTGATGAAGGGGTCCTGCGAGACTCCGAAACGTTGCCTTGCAGTAACTATGTGACCGTTTATTAAAACGTTTGGACCCATATTGGTGATCCTCGGTGTGCTGGTGACATTCTTCCTTCATGTCCCATTCTTAGCACCTGCCCTGTTGCATTCTGAACACAAGAAGTCTGCTGCTCTGCAAGGGTGCTATTCAGAGAATACTTTGCATTTTCTCAATGAATGCAATGCATTCTCTGGTTGGACAAGCTGGATAGACAGGCTGGTGAGTTCACGCTCTTCACCTTGTCCAATCAAAGAATGCTTTGCTATCATTGAGAAAATTCAAAACATTCTCTGATTGGCGGCTGTGTCCAGTGGCTGACCTGCTGTGTTCACATTGCAGTAGGGCAGCCGATTGGCATGGGACCCAGAAGCTAGTGGAGATCCCTCAGATATGGTATATGAATATATAAACAAATAAAAGTGAAATCACCTTGAATACAGCGCTGTAGTAATGAACTATTCCACATTACAAATAAACCTAAACACCCCCAAAAAAAATATATACTGTAAATGTCCATGCTGTATAAAATCAATAAAATAATCGTGTGAACAGATAGGCAATTTCAGCTGGGGAGTTCCTGTCTATCAGTGAGGTGGAGGGGCACAAGATTGTTTTGCTTAACACAAAGATATTGTGGTGCTGCATAAAGCACATTGGTTTTTATTTATTTTTATTCATTTGGGTTATGGTGCATTTATAAAGAGAGGATTTGACACTGGATTTAATGACATTATTTATTGATTTTACAGTGTGGACATACAGAAAAAGATGCTACAGTGAGCGCTCCTAAAAATCAGCAACTGAACATTCAAGGAAAACGCATATAAAATCCTAATGTGGATATAGATATAAATAATGCAGCGCTGTATGGTATTAAAAAGTCACAAATAGAATGCAGTCCTGTGTAGGGGCTCGCTGTTATTCCAGTGCGAGTGATAGAAATGCGCACTAACCAGAAGCGTATTGATAATACACAGGTATATCAATATCATGAAGAATCCCCTCTCCTTTCTGGTCAAAGTGCAGATTGGAACTGGAAAATGTAAGGATGAAGCGCCCTCGTGTGGTGAAGATGAGATCCGACAGGCCAGAAGTGTCCTTGCAGAGATGTATGGAATATAACCTTCCCCTTCTCTGGAACTGATGTTAGGATCACACTGGGGCTGTAAAATTTGAAAAACTCCTCACAGGAGAGCAAGGGAGAAGCTCATAGTTTAGTATATTCAAAAATTCCTTTATTACTCAAAGAAACGTAGGTAAAAAATCACAATGGTGCCAGATACATGTGAATAACTGACCCTCCAAACTCAAAGATGGCCGCCGGGCCTCCACGTGGCACTGGCGGCGTGACGTCACGACGTCCTGGGCTCCACCTGGTCCTGTAAGGAGTTTTTCAAATTTTACAGCCCCAGTGTGATCCTAACATCAGTTCCAGAGAAGGGGAAGGTTATATTCTACACATCTCTGCAAGGATACTTCTGGCCTGTTGGATCTCATCTTCACCACACGAGGGCGCTTCATCCTTACATTTTCCAGTTCCAATCTGCACTTTGACCAGAAAGGAGAGGGGATTCTTCAGGATATTGATATACCTGCGTATTATCAATACGCTTCTGGTTAGTGCGCATTTCTATCACTTGCACTGGAATAACAGCGAGCACCTACACAGGACTGCATTCTATTTGTGACTTTTTAATACCATACAGCGCTGCATTATTTATATCTATATACAGTGTGGACATGTATATATGGATTTTTTTGTGTGTTTGAGTTTATTTGCAATTTTGAATAGTTCTTTATTACAGCACTGTATTTAAGCATGACTTCACTTTTATTGATTTCCATAGTTTATGGATGTTACACAGTACAGCAGTAGTGGTATTTGGAGAATTGGATTTTGGCTCATAGCATCAAGTTGGGGTTGTTCAATGATATAAGCATAGCTGCAATGGTCCAAGCTGAACCATGTAAAATCATCCATACCTGGAATTCTTTCTAAGGATAATGACTTTAGGAACACTTAAAGCCTTAAAATACTCTGTTCTAACTTGTAACCTATGTTCAGGGCATATTAGGTTAGTATAACACTGACCACAGCATGCTGCTTCATTATATAACATAAGCCAAACGTTTGCAGCATGGAGTTTGCAGGCTTATTTTTATAAATACATTGTAACAATATTGTTATAATACGTTGTTGTTGATGTTTAAATCAAAAAATTATCTACCTGTTAAAATGTCAGGTCCATCAAAACTGTTTTCTTTAATAAATTCTGTTTCTATTTTTCCTTTATTAAGTTTTAGTTTAAGTAGCTTTAAAGCCAAAACTTTTTTAGGTGTAGATAAAGTAGGGGATGGTTAAAGTCCCTGTTGTGTTAATTTTCTCGTCTATGTCCTGTTGAGAAGTTTGCCTTTCCCTTCCTGTCCCAGAGGCAACACAGGAAATGAAATCTCTCTAAAGTGAGCGGAAAAGCCCTGTAAGATGTCCTAAAAAAAAAAAATTGGAAGATTTCCCCTGTATTGCTGCAAAATGTTTCAGTTCTATTTCTTTTCGTCAGGCCGCAAGGTGAATCTCCCCAGAAAGGTTGCAGACATGTAAACCTTCCAGGGGATCTATACCTTCAACACTCTACAACAATACAAAACGTTTTGGCTTTAGATACCCTTTCAACTGTATTTAATTCTCCTTTCTTCCTTCTTAGCTTCTTAGGAAACATTTGGTTATAATGGTCAGATGGGAGTACACAGGCGGGGCATTGTCCTGCGTGAGTGCATTTTCTGCTGGAGTGCAACAAAGAACTCTACTGCACTCTGGATGAACTGCAAGCAAAACACCCTGGTCAACATCTCCTACAAGTCTGATTCCCATTCCATCTATCTTTTAATATGCCCCCTTCCTCCTTTTTATATTACTATCCTCTGTTCTCAAAATCTAATTTCTTTACCCCTCTTCTCCACCCCAAAGCCTATGCATATCACCCTCACGTCTACCTGCTCCCTATTACTGCTCTCATCACCTCCTGCTAATATTTAACTCACCTGCTGACCCAAACACCAGGACAGGAAGGCATGTGCACTCGTA